AGAGAGAGAGGGGGGAGAGAGAGAGGGAGAGAGAGAGGGGGGAGAGAGGGAGAGAGAGGGGGGAGAGAGAGGGGTGAGGAGGAAGTGTTCGACACACATATCTCCGGCTAAATCAAACCATCTCCTCCATTTCGCAGCAGATTGTTCTTGTCTTTGTCAAAGCTGTATTATAAGTTGACAGTTAGCAGCACCTCAACCTCGTCGTCCTTCCACACATTTCAGATATATTAAATATTTTCCTATGATTTGCAAAAACTGCCAAAGAATAATACGCTTCACTTTGTTGACGTTGCCTTCATCGCCACCTACTGGCCTGGCAAGTGCTTGAAGTCATTTTTGCGTTCTAGCTCGGCCGAAGATATGTCGTATAGTGGAGGTCGTGTGGACAGAATACACTTCTTTAACGGAGGAGATAAATATCTGTTACTGTGTAGACGGGGTTTAATATAACAGAATGTATTTCATATATAAAGTAGCATCTTCAGGTCTTGATGAACACAAGCTCTTTGGCCCTGTGATCTGCTACCAGCAAACAATGAGACTGGAGTGATATTGCCCTCCAGACACTTGCCTGGATGACCCTCTCTTTTGTTATGGTCAACAAAACTTGGTTTGAGTAAAAGGAGGACAAAACCAGTTTCCATCGAGATTATCTACAAAAAAAGAACCCCCCTTAAGTCTTCTAATCTTTCTCTATGGACAGTCTGAATCTTATGTCATGTCAAAGAGTGGAAAGTTCAGAATGATGTAAGAATTCAGGTTATAATGAGGAAAGGATTAAGGTCAGTGTATAGCAGATAAATGTGATGTGTGTGTTTCAGATGACTCAGTCCCGCTGGTGGGAGCAGGAGATTCCCATCGAGGGAAACGTCCAGAAGGGAGAGCTGCTGACCTACAACCTGACTGAACTCATCAAACCTGAGTCCTACCTGGTGCGCCTCACCCCCATCACCCGCTACGGAGAGGGCGACGCCACTGAGCGCATCATCACCTACAGCGGTAATGTTCCCTCTCTTCAACGCCTATATCGCTTCGAATTTGCCACTTTCTCTCAGTTTTTATCCGCTCCAGAAACTACATTCTGATGATCTACTAGCTAAGATGTTAGCCAACCGGGAACATGCTAACACAAATCTTTCATATTTGTAATAGTCCACAGTTATATTCTTTCCCGAAATACATTTTGCAATTTTTTGATGTTGTTGTTGTTGTTTGAAACCTGTAGCGTTATATTGATGTTTGGCGCCCCCTGTGGTCGCGTCACCCACCTGCAACAACACATCACATTTCTCACGATGCCTTTTCTTCAATAATACATTTCATCGCTCTGTATGAATGGGGTGTGAGTCATGATATGTAAATGTGAAGAGCTTTGAGGGGTCTTAAAGACTGTACAAACATCTATCTAGATACAGTCCATTTACCATTTACCATTACTCCGTCGTGCTACTAACTATAAAGGGTAGCCTAAGCTTTTGCCAATGCAACTCCACACTTCCTGCAACAAAAGGACAGCTCTGAATAATTTCCTTTGTTCTGCTTTTATGATATTTATGCAAAACATTTCAGCTAAGTGGAGTTAACATCGATTAAAGAAAAAGTAAAAGTTAATATAAATAATCTGAGAATAAAAACAGCAGTTTGTGAAGCAGGCACAATGGTTTCTACAGTGCTGTCTATATTATACTGACTCTATCAGATCAACACATTCAACAGCCGTTCAGAAAACAGGAAATATTATTAAATGGTGGTTAGTTTTTATATCACGTTTATTAATATGTATACCTGAGCTCATCCCAGAATGACTGAGACCTAAATATGAGATTTAAGAGATGTTTATTGTATGCGGTGTTGTGCTGCTGACACACTGCTTCTCTATGAAAAAGAAACACTGGAAAAACAAGACGATAAAAGAAATGTCACAGAAATCCTGACGGGAATAAAAACAAAAAACGCAACAGCATAGAATTTTGAAAGTGAAGTAAAACAAAAGAGAAGTGACTGATGACACACTCACAGCGGGACGCGACGACACACAACGAAAACAAAAGAGACGATTAGTTTCTCTGCTCTGAAGTGGAGTTTTGACAGACTGTCAGTGAACGCCTCGCCCCCCTCACCTCCTCCTGATCCTCACATTAACTCCTCAGAGGGGGATATTCAAATAGGAAGTTCAGAACTCCTCCACCTGTCAGCGCTCGGTCACATGACCCTCTGCAGGTCACCACCCGACATCTACAGGTGTTTGTTCTGAGCTGCAGAAAGTCAATTAAATATCACATTTATCAACGTACTGTCGTCAACGCCCTGCTGCCTTCACGTGTCTGTAAGGATTTAGAAGATCAAGAAGAACAAGAACTTTATTAATCCCACAACAGAAACATTCCGGTTTCACTCTCCATCCTTAACACATTAGGTCTGATATACATTCATAAATAAACATGCATTTTATGGAGAAGTGCAATATGTTGGCGTCAAGGAGCAGTTGGGTCTCCAGAGGGGCCCACAAAGTGAACTGGTTGTTCTCCAGTTACCAGTGCACACCACTTTTGTTTGGTTTTGTTGGTCCTTATGGGACTCGAACCAGTGACCATCTGGTTCCCAAGCCAAAAAGCCAACGGACTGAGCTACTGCCAATATGAAGATGTTTTTATAAAGTGACGAGCAGCTGTGGACAACATGAAATGTCATAATACCTCATAATCATTTATACGATGTTCCTCAAAGGTTTCTGCTTCAAAAGGATAGTTGGGATTTGAGTTCCTATCCATAGTCTGCAGTATGCCTCCAGGGAAACTAAGCAATGCACTGCTGTGGACGAAGCCTGCAGCAAAATGAAAATAAAAAGTGTATTTGTGTGAAGGATTTGATTTGTATAGTTTGAGCGACAGGAGACAACTTTCTTTCTTAATGTTCATGATACAATCACCAAATGATCAGTGGTGCGAAACAGACGTTTATTCTCAGAAATTAAGACACAATTTCCATCTTAACCCCCGCAGCGCTTTGTGTGTGTGTGTGTGTGTGTGTGTGTGTGTGTGTGTGTGTGTGTGTGTGTGTGTGTGTGTGTGTGTGTGTGTGTGTGTGTGTGTGTGTGTGTGTCCTCCTATCTTCACACTGTCCCAGATCTGTAGCACTAACTCAAAACTAGCGCTGCTAAAACGCTGCGACATCGCACACGCCTGCAGGACACACACACACACACACACACACACACACACACACACACACACACACACACACACACACACACACACACACACACACTTTGTGTTATTTTCTTTAAGGTAGCAGTTTTTAACCTGCAGAAAACACGACAGATTTTTAGATTGTGTTAAAGGACAAACTTGGTCTATTGCTACTTGGATATTATTTTGCAGTTCACAGGAAACAGACGTATCATGAATGAAACGTCAGCGCCCAAGCTTATAGGAAAAAGTTGTGTTGAACATTTGTAGAGTGACATTTTAATCAGAGATATTATTACAACTGACAAGAAGCAGAGGATGATGACATGTTTCATTTTCAAATTGAAATACCCTTTCTTGTTTTACATCAATTGTCACTCAACACAGAAACTCAGTGTTTGAGTTTAAGAACTTGAACCAAATATAATAAAAACGTGAAATGTTAATGTTGTTTTTATGAATTTTAGTTTGTAAAGTATCTTTGAATACCCTAGGAACCGCTCTATCAATTAAATGTATTATTATTATTATTCTGTCAAATACTTAATCTTTCCCTTGAAAACTTCACAAACTGATTTCTGTGTGATTTATTTACGCTCGTTTTCAAAATAAAAGAAATAGACACTTTTTTCCAGTTTCCATTTAAATGCTATAAGATGCTTTTTGCTAAGAGACGCCCAGGTGGAGTTAATGTTCCAGAAATAAGGAGTGAGCTATGATTACAATTTAGTGTCCTCACTTCCAAGTACTAAAAAGTGGTCCTCACTATGATATAAATACAAGCACACACACACACACACACACACAGCAAATTAGTGCTGGTTGATAACGAAACACAAGCTTGTTGCCAAACGACGCAGCAGCTGTTCGTGCACTCACAGTTTCCAACAGCTGCACTGAGTGTGTCAGACATGTGGTGTAATTAGTTTTCCCCCTGAAAATCCAATTTGAAAACAGCTGACTGTCAAACCTGCTGCTGGGTTCACATCTCTACTTTTTGTTTTATTCTGAAAGAAAGCTTCCTGTTATTGTCTCGAATTTCCTTCGTTTAATTTCCTTGACATTTGCTGATACGATAATCATAAATGTAATGTAAATGGTTAATGCACGCATGAATGTGAATAAGACAAAAAGGTTATATATTGTTATATTAATGATTGTCTTTTGTCCCTTCACAGCTCCTGTTAACCCACATCTCAGTAAGTATCTTCACAAATAATTAAACAGATCAAACAGTTCACACTTTAAATGTTATTGCCTTTAAGTTTATGCTTCTACTATATGTAATTTATGCATATTTGTGTGTGTGTGTGTTCAGGGGAGTTCCAGTGTGGCTTCGAGGACGAGGCGGTGTGTTTGTTTTCTCAGGACAAAACGGACGTGTTCGACTGGACGCGTCACAGCGCCGCCACGCGAGACAGCAAATACACACCGAACACCGGACCCAGCACCGACCATGCCGGCACCAAGACGGGTACACACACACACACACACACACACTTTCTGTTTTGTGTTGCACTGTTGGAGGAGTCTGTGACCTAAGATTTTCATCGTCATAACTACACTGTAGCTATGTACGTATGACTGATAAAAGCCTTGAACACACACACACACACACACACACACACACACACACACACACACGACGCCTGTGCATGTATAATCAAATCAGCGTACTCTGATACAGATATCAAATGGATCCTTAATCCTCTCTTTCTGTGTCAGTCTGAGACATCATTCCACTCAAGTGTGTGAGTGTCTTACAGCTGATGTTCAGACTGTTTCCTTTCTCACTGTTCTGCTCCGTTCTCGTTATTTTGTGTTTTTTCGACGCCAGCAGCCCTGAGAGTAGGTGGAGGGCTGAGGATAAAACAATGACACTAAGTTTTAATCATTGTTCTGAACTCACGAGACGGACCGTTTCTGATTCGTGTCGTTCAGAAGAGTCGACGCCCACTCTCAACACGATAAGAGGCTGAGAATAATCGCAGCAGCGCAGCACCCGGAGGAGCCTCAGCTGACTGAATGAGAGCAGCCTGACGGACACGCTGCAGTTTGTTCTGCTGCCGAGCAAATAGTTTGTTTCTACTGTAAAACATTCAGAGAAAAACACAGGACACATTCACTCAAAGCTCACCTGAAAATATAACTAAAAGAATACTAATTTTACTGGAACAGCGTTACTTACATCCTGCGTTTTTAAAATATATTGTAGTTTGTCAGATTTCTTTTTTTAATAGACATCCTTCGCTGGAATTAAGGTTCGGATGATAATAGTAATGTTAGCACTCCTTTTGTGTCTAATTGACTTTTGAAAGTAGTTTAGCCAATCACAATTAAGGACCAGAAATATCACTGACAGAAAGGCTTTAAAGGAAGTGACAAAAAACGATGTCAGAGGGATCACACCTACAGTCTGACTGTCAGAGGGATCACACGTACAGTCTGACTGTCAGAGGGATCACACCTACAGTCTGACTGTCAGAGGGATCACACCTACAGTCTGACTGTCAGAGGGATCACTGGAATTACTTGAACGCTCATTAAATTGTCACTTCTCCCAATGGAGTTTGGCATTTCCCCTCCCATACAGACGGAGGAGCGTTATCAGGACGCAGCAGCGTGTCACGAACACAAACTGTCAGCGAGGAAAAAGCCTGACTGAATTATGTTTGTAGTGTCAACACTGGCACTGTAACTGTAAGTAGGCGTAATAAGACGACCCGTCAAACTGTCCAATACGTCTTCACTTCGATGAAGATAACTTAAGAATCTGTCCCCAAAAAAAGAGATCTGCATAAAACAGTGACAGTTCAGAGTTTAGCGCTTTTGTTGGTTAATTCACTTCTTACTTTGAAACACTTGGGACAGATCAGTCTGCTGTCACCTCCAAATAGTATCACAAGCTTCACATGCTTCAAATTGACAGCTGGAATTATTTTAGCTGACAAAATGTTAGACTCAACGTCAAGTTCTTGGTGAAGGAAAAAAAGAGAGTGAGGCTCTCTGGAGCTTTTTAAATTAAACAACGGAGGAAATATATCAATCAGGGCAACTTTTATTCTTAGTTACAGCTTTTAAAAAGAAGTATAAGGGCTGCAGTGATGCTTCAACCTGGTGAGGGAAAGGGCTGATAGTAATGAAATGAAATCACCCAACAAAAGAAAAAGCATTAACGATATAAGCACATGATGATCACGACAGAGCCGGCCAGCTAACCAATCAGAGCAGACTGGGCTCTGGTTTCAGACAGAGGGTGAAAAGAGGTGCTGCAGCACAGAGAGAAATAAAGAGCTTTTTGAACATTAAAGCATGGAGACATGTCCCAGGAGAGACAATTATAAACCTGAAAATGAGCACAATATGTCTTCTTTATTGCAACTGAATAATCAATTATTAATAAATATGTCCAATGTAATTTAAAAAGACAAAACAATTATCCCAGGAAAGAAATGCAATGCAAGAAGCTGCTCTGGTTAGGTCTAATGTGTCTTGATGTTTCTCTCTAGAGTTAACACTAAAGAGCTGAAGGCCTTTTAATGCTCTCTCTAGCGAGCACACGCCCCCTTACACCTGGGAGAAACTGCACACCTGATTAGTACCTAGAGGGGATATGAACCATGCACTCCCTCACATGTGTGGAAGTGTCACAGTGCAGCTGCAGCAGTGAGTCACAACCTGCTGCAGCTCCTCCAGCCAGGAAGAGGCTAAATAATCAAATGTGATTGGCTGTCATCACGCGGCCATCAGACCCGGCCCTGAGGTGAGACAGAAACAGGGAAACCCCATTGGTTCCTACTGAAGGTGTATATATAGCTTTTTAAAAACATCTATAAAGTAAATATAGTATAGTATCTTTTTGTTTCTTCCAAAGACTCAGCAATTTCTCTACAACAGATTATCACACAGGAGGAAATAATGCATTTGTTAAGGACTATTTTCAGCAGCAGATTAATCCTCATCCTAGTCAGTATGTGTTGCTGTAGGACAGTGTATGTGCTATGCCTTAAATTGCAATGTGTTCTCAAGATTACAACCAGACAAACGCATGTTTTCTAATATTTGACTGTTATTCCCAGTCCTGTAAACTAGGGCTGTGCGATTATGGCAAAAATCATAATCACGATTATTTGGGTCAATAATTGATATCACGATTATTAAATACGATTATTCATCCATTTATTGAACTTTAAAACAAATACAAATAATAATTTGAACAGTATCTTTTTAACTGTTGATTACCCTGAACGTAGAATTCAACTGAAAAACCAAGACAAAAATAAATAAAATAAATGATAAATATATATTTACATTTAAATAAATAATATCAAAATAATAAACACCAATAAACAAGATCAACAAATATTTTAGAGCGCACTTCCACAAGCTACTAAACATATATAAATATGATAAATACAAATAAATGAGACCAAAATGAATTAGATCAAATATGTTGCACTGTCTCAACCTAGCAAAGCTAAATAATTGTTTTTTTCGATTATGTTGTTTTCGTAATTGTGGCAGGCCAAAATCGTAATTGCGATTAAAATACGATTAATTGCACAGCCCTACTGTAAACAGTATATTCCACTTTGCCATTTGGCACAGAGGAAGAAGAGATATCCGTCTTTGATGCACACACAATATGTGATGCAGACACATTCACTGTTGGTTTGAATCTGAACATGAAGAAATCACATCATCCTTTAAACCGTCAACTTCTGTTCTGACTTTTATAGCCGGAGTGAAAACTAAAATAAACTCATCACAACAGTTTTTTTTCTCCTTTGTGAAAAGAACCGATCCATCGAAACAAGGCCGTTTCTTACTGACGTGATTTCACACATTCTGACAGCAAAACTATTTATTTTCACATCAGGGGGGAGAAAACAAACTCCTGCTAACACGAGCAAAAGAAAATCATAGATGCATGTTAGGAATGATGCAAATAAAACCACTCATCCTGTCAGTCCCAATTAAATAATAATATATACAAATCTTTACTGTTTTTTAGTCCTTTCAAAATAAACGACCTAGTTATTTTTGACATATTCTAAAATAAGAATCTCGTAAATTTGACTTAAAATATATTAAATAATAATTTCCTGGCAGAAATGGGTTGCTATTAAACTCAGGTCTTTAAAAATATATATATTTATCATGTCTCCATGCTTTAATGTTCAAAAAGCTCTTTTCACCCTCTGTCTGAAACCAGAGCCCAGTCTGCTCTGATTGGTTATTTGGCCGGCTCTGTTGTGATTGGTCAACCTGCTTAGAGATGTCCCGCCCCTTAGCCTATCACATACAATGTGTTGGAGCGCTAGCCAATAGAAGCGCGAGCGTTACACAGTGATGTCACTATGTTCCAGAAGTAAACAAAGGAGTCCAATGGAGACGTTTCAGACCCCATTTACACGCAAACGCATACGAAACGCAAACGAACCGAATACGATATCAAAAAAGTCTTCTGTTCACACGAGACTGCTCGGGAGCGCTGGAGACGCTGTAGTACATATGCCGGGCCTGTAAGTGGCGAAGAAGACCCCCGAGCATGGTTGCCATGGTTGCCCTTCTGTTTATGCCCCATGGTGGATTTAGCAACATGTAATTCTCCATGTCCACTTGTTGCTGATGGTTGTGGTAGAGGAGCTGTAGATGTTGCACTAACATCTGTAGCATGGTCAGTAGCTACTGTCAGTAGCTACTGGCCATGCTACAGCAGTGAGCAGTAGAGGTGGGGAGAGGCGGGGCTATGGCTTCATCGTTATCAGGAAATGATCGTATAGGCCGTAGACACCAGCCAGAGCGTTCCGTTTGCAGATCTATCCACCTTGGGACCCGTTATCGTTTGCGGGGTCTGTTTCCGCGTTTCCATTACGGCCTCGTGTGAACGAACGGGCTATACGAAAGAGAAAAGTAGCGGATAGAACCGTTTGCGTTCTCGTGTAAACAGCACCTCAGCCTCTGGAGGAACACAGGGATTTTAGCCTCTGCAGACCATTTACATGCACTAAAACCTACAGAACACACTACAGAAAACAAAGAATAACAGGGCCTCTTTAAAAACCAGATTAAACACTTTTAATAAATGTGTTTCCACCTCATAGGATTTGTTCCTGTGTGTAACTAATATCAAAATAAGTCTCTTTATATCTGCTTACAACACATTTGAGTGTGTATTACTGTAAATAAACTGCTCATTAAAATAGTGCAGCAGCTCGCAGTGTGATCAGGATTAGCTGAGTTTAATCCCCGAGCAAACAAAGGTTAAAATAACTCCTCACACAGCTGATGTGTGACGGCGGCTGTTTGTTGTTTGTCTCCTCCTCTTCATTTCCTGCTGGAAGCTCGTTCTTCTTCTCCCTTTTCTTCTGCAGCAGAATCTCATTAAAGAGAGCCGCGGGGTGAAGCGCTTTGAATCCTCTGTCAAACAGGAAACATGCGAGACGGAGTGTTTTCTACACTCGTGTACAATTTAATTTGTGAGGATTGTTTTTGTTGTGGATGAGCCCGAGGTGGATTTCTTTGCTCTTTCCAGGACGGTTGCATTAGTTCTCACTGTTGCATGCTTCCTGTGTTAATCTGTGCAGGTCAATGGAAGCAAGGCAGGGTCTCAGGTCCATCTCTCTGCAGCTCACATTAAATGGAGAGGGAAATTCCAGCTGAATTTGAGCATGTTTTTTGTTGATTTAACATTTCTCAAAAAACCTGCAAGCAGAATCTCAAAGGAAAGCAATCAGCCGAATGGACTCTGCACTTCTTTCAATGTCTATTCTGTTTTTACGAGCACTTGATTTCAGTATGACAATACTAAGACAATTCAAAATAATAAATAATAGATTGTTCAACAGTAACAACGAAACATGTCAACATGTGTCTCAATGTAATGTTGGTTCATCCCCCAATTTGGGTCAGAACTGAAAGATCTCTGGATACATTTGGTATTTATTCAGGTTTCCGAGGGGATGCATCATACTGGGCTCTGTTGGATTATTATTGTAATTTCCTTAATCATGAATATGTATTTGAGCAAACTCCACCTATTGAAGAAATCTAAGAAAAAACAACAACTGTTTTCATGACTTTGAAACCAGTTGAACCTTTAATGTGTTTTTTTACCTCAAGATGTTAATAGGATTAGTTCCCGTGTGTAACTGATAAACATAAGACTGAAATGTCTCTGGGAATAATAAGGGATTGTCACGAAATGTGGTAAAACATTCATGTTCAGGATGAATCTTACTCATGTTGTTGCTCCAGCTAACAGGAGCTAGCTGGCTAATTGTGTTAGCTGTTGCTAAGCTTGCTAAGGCTGCATTCAAACCAGATCAGACGCCAATAAACTGCATATATAATAAATGTTTCTCTCCCACAGGTTTCTACATGTACATCGAGACGTCGAGGCCGAGGCTGGAGGGGGACGCGGCCCGGCTGCTGTCTCCCACCTTCAACATGAACTCCAAGACCTCCTCCTCCTCCCCAGTCACCACCAACCCCACCTACTGCTTCTCCTTCTACTACCACATGTACGGGAAACACATCGGTAGGTCTGCTGCACGGTCTGTTCAGGTACACGGTATAATACAACGGTTATGTGACCATGTCTTCGGTGAGAAGCCAGAAATAAGGTCTGTGGTTAACAAAAGCGGAAAAGATATTTACATTTTATTATAAAAAAACTTAATATTTCAGTCAATGGTGAATTTAAAAACAGCAGCTGCTAACAAGTGACTAAATGAGACGACTACATTTCATCACGCCTTTAGCTTAGCGGTGGTGACGTGAAGTCATGTGACTGTGCTGAAGTTCGTCTATAGCCTAATGATAGCTTTTAGCTTCTGGTGCTCACATTTATGCTTCAAAAATCGTGGCATTAATATGTGGAGATTATCCTGCTCAACAAAACGTGTAAGTATCATAAACGTTTTTTTCAGATTTTCTTTTCTGCAATATTCCGAAATCCAATGTAAGTTCCCATTGGCTCTTTGTCGAGGGAACCCTTCAGATGCTTACTTCCAGGTCGCCCTCAAGACATACGTCATCACTGCACAGCCATATAATAAATAAAGCCATGCTTGTTGTCGAAGCAGATTGTGAGAACTTTGAAGCAAAACTCCTGATTTTTTTAAAGTGATGCATTGTGGTTAATCTTTGGTGAATCGTGTGACCTTCAGTGAAAACTAGTTTATAACAACAATAAAGAGCGGACCCCGTGTGTTCTCGTCTGCAGGAGCTCTGAACGTCTTTCTGCGTCAGAAGACTCAGACGGTGACGGACACATCCGTCTGGAGTCTGATCGGTAACCAAGGAGACCGCTGGCGACGAGCCAAGGTCAACATCCACCCAACCGCACCTTTCCAGGTACAAACCCCCCCCCCCCCCTTTATTTCAGCACCCCAAGGACACCTGTATGGATCCAACCATCAACACTCAGGAAAAAACAAACTGTTATTATTTACCATTATTTTTTATAAATCTTTCAATCATTTTCCAAACTAATCAGTTGTTTGATTTATAAAGTGCAAAATGTGAGTATATTTACTAAAATACCACTTAAGTACAATTTTGAGGTACTTTTTCTGCTACTATATACTTGTACAGCTTTAGTTACATTCAAATGCAAACATTGTGAAAGGTGACTTGTTGCGCAATCTCACCATCTTTCCTTTAAAAAAACAAACAATCAATAAATGAATGGAGGAACTGATCAACAGTTTAATCCTTAATGAAAATAACTACAGATGAAGCGTCTTATTTTGGACAGTTTAAAGTGCGAGGGTCGTGATCGGTTCATGCACGTTCCGTGATGGCCGGCCGGCCCCCAGTCAGACTTGATACCGCCCCCATGATAAATACATTTAATTATTGTGAAGCCAGCTGCAATGGATCATTGATCCACCAGGGGGTGCAGTGGGGTTCCACACTGGAGTCATGTGAAATCAACTTCTAAATAATAGATGTTGTTTAGTCGGAAAAAACGAACGAGCCGGCTCTCCCGATTTTTAATCCTAATTTAATCATCATCATTGATGTTTATGTTCGCCGAATTGACATGAAATCACTGACAAATATGAATATTCTGTATTCAACTTCATTGAAACGATCAGGATGGGTGTTATTTTTCCCCACAATGACCAAGTCGCTGCAAATGATCCCATGTATTACATGTACATGGCCACATTCTCAACAAAGTTACGTAACGAAACATTCTGTATTCCTTGCTTACTTTTTATTTAATGCTTTATAACAGCTGGAATAGTTCGTTTAGAACAGGCACCTCACTCGCAATCTGCTCCTCCGCAACGCCTACCACCTACCTCCGGCTGAAATTATGAATGTACAGTAAGGCATAGTAATCATAGATAACACGGCAGGGTCCGTTACAGTTTGTTTTCATCTGATTTCAAATATTTCAAATGTCTGAAGTTAATAAATACATTCTCAGTGTTCAAGTCAATAATAGTCATATAAGAAAAGTACTGATCTAATAACAGAGATTTTATAAGGACTTTTCAATGTTCGACATCGCTCATGTGAAATACAGTAAACTGGATGTTGTGGTGCCGAGAGGCGGGGTATCAAAAGTACAAGCTAAACTTTTATTTAGCATCTGAACACACTTGTAAACAACGTGATGCCCGGGAAGCGAAGACCCGGCGGAAACAGCTGGTCTGGTTCACTAAAATGTCCGTGTACAGTATATCTGGTACTAATGTATAGCGGATCTTTGTTAAGATCCATATGTCACGGATAGAACTATATATTGAGCTTTAAAACAAATGATATATATTATAATAAAATAAACACCGGCTGTTGTTATGCCTGCTGTAACGTTTACTTTCTCCGTTCTCCGCTTAAGTAATTATTACTTCCTGGTTAGCTTTCCGCTCGAAATTTAAATCTGAAAATGGCAAAATAACGGAGAAAAAAACGTTCACAGAGAAGACGACAACAATTGTCACTTGCACTTGTCATTTAGCATCTGAACACACTTGTAAACAACGTGATGCCCGGGAAGCGAAGACCCGGCGGAAACAGCTGGTCTGGTTCACTAAAATGTCCGTGTACAGTATATCTGGTACTAATGTATAGCGGATCTTTGTTAAGATCCATATGTCAGTAGAGATGGGATGGCAGAAGGTGCTATATATATATATATATATATATAATTCCAAAGCTGGTAAAGACCTTTCAAATTTAGCAATAATAGTCATATAAGAAAAGTACTGATTTGTTCTTGAATCAACTTTTTTATGGAAAATGTTTTATGTAATTTTATTTCATTTTAAATAAAATGAAAGACATTCACAGTTAATGTAATTAGATATACATTATTAATGCCATACATTTTTAAATGTAATTAGATATACATTATTAATGCCATACATTTTTGCATAAATATTTATTCAGTATGATAGCTGTCTAACAGAAGTTAAATCCATTTCTCACTTATTCTGACAATGTACTTAACCCCAAATAAAAGAACCCAATAAAAATAGTTGTTAAATAATAGTGAAGTCACGTTGTAATAACAATAACTCATCTCTCTCGGTTTTTTTTGTTTTCTTTGTGTGCTTTGCCAAAAGCCACTGTGTCAAGTGTCCTAGTTGGGTTACCGTAACGAACAGCAGCCGGCTCTCGATTTTTAATCCTAATTTAATCGTTTATGTTTGCCTTGCCGAATTGACATGAAATCACTGACAAATATGAATATACTGTATTCAACTTCATTAAAATGTTATTAACGTGCCTAAACTCAGTAATTCACTAAAAATTACTGATCCCTCCGCGTCGCGGAGGGATCTTGATCCCTGGGTGTTATTTTTCCCCATAATGACCAAGTCGCTGCAAATTATCCCGCTTATTACATGGCCACATTCTCAACAAAGTAACGACATGACTCCCAATATTAATTAAAATGCTTTTATGGATTTAGAAAATATTTTTATTGATTTAAAACATAGTTCTATGTATTGATTTAAATTTACATGCATCCGCTAAGAAAAATAGTCCGTTGTTACCGTTTTTTAAACAGTCAGAATGAAACGGCAGCTCTCAGCTGTGTGTTCACACTCCTAACTCTGATCTTTCTTTTCCAACAGTTAAGTTAACTGTAGGTTACTCTGAGTGACAAGCTTACAGTTAGTGAAGTAACACTTTTTTTTTGTGAGTCACGACCTCGCTGTTTCATTCTAACATAACGCTCCAAATATGACTGTTTCCACTCGGACTTCAATACAGCAACACCATTGTTTGGTTTCCATGGTAGCGTGTCTCTTTAGTAGCGTGCACTCCTTTCCTGTAAATTACAGGTCCAGCCAGGCAAAACAGTAATATGAAATATGAACGTTAGTTTTTAACTGAAATGATCAAATAAAGTCAAAATGTCACAGTGTTTACAAACATTGACCATACCGTTCACCAGCCCCCACCCCACTCTTTGTTTAAAACGAATTGGCCATCGGAATGTGTGTGTCCCAACCCCCCCCTGTGATATCTCTTCACAGGGGGGAGAGAGTTAGACGCTCGTGAATTGTCAACGGGGGGGGGGGCCTCTCTGCACGGAGGAGCCGCGGAGAAGTGAATCACAGTGATCTGCTATTTTAAAGTAAATTCAACACATATCGACCCTAAATATAGCATATATTAAGAACGAGAAAGTGTTAACATCGTTTTTTGTAAACATATGACCAATGTGCGAGGGTGATGACATCAGAGCATCGTCCTATGGGCTTAGCCCCGGACAGGTACAACAGGTATTCACTCAGAGGGGGGTAGTTATCCATTTACATGTCAAAAAGCAACATACAGTAGGCGGGTGGGGGATGGTGAACGTTTACATTTCTCTACAGCAGTGGTTCCCAAACTTTTTGTGCCCAAGGCACACCAAAGGACAAGTAAAAATCTCAAGGCACACCTATTGTGCGAAATAGCCCTTATAACACGTGTTATCACTCATATCATGTAAAATATCTGTAAATGTGCATAATTATTTACTAATGCCAAATAAAATGTATAGATAGAACAATCAGTGGTTCAAGTTAGTATATTCCTCAGTGTAACATATCCACTAGTTGCAAAGCTTAAACATTTTTATATATTTTTTTATTTTAAGGGAAAGGATGTTTTCACTACTCAGTTTGTCAACTATGTTACGGACAAACTTGATGTCATTACAATCATTTGATTAAGTCCTGCACTTCAAGTAAAATCAAATTTGAAAGGCTCTTGAGTCTATTCTACCATATATCCAAAGATTTTTTAAAGTTTAAAAAATAATTGTATTAAAGTTTTGTTTTTTCATGTGATATGTTCAGCACTGTCATTAAGTTTAGGGATATTTTGTATTATAAAACTACCATACAGGTCATTTTGATAGTTTTAAGAGATGTCATGTAAAACTCCAACCTGTGTAGATATACATTATACTATAAAGGATATCAGAAGCACTATTTTAGATATTTTAAATTTGAAAAAATGAGGTGCAACATAGTTGACAATGAAAGTCAAACATTTGACGCAAATAACATAGTTGACTGGACACATTATTAACCATCAGCACTATGTTAATTTCAAGGCAGAAGTGCAAAATTCCATTGATAATGATGTGTAATGACGTCTACATGTCGTACAAATTGTCAACTAGGTTACCTGTCAACTAAGTTACTACAGTTATTACAGTACTGGGTAACTCAGTTGACAGGTAACCTAGTTGACAATTTCCCTATTTTGACCCATCATTTCAATGGTAGGCCTTGCCTGGATGACCACATGTCATTTTCTTGAACAGGTTAACATCACATTTGCACATATAATTGAATTAAAATCATTAAACAATTGTAAACCATAACAATGTACGTAACATTGTTGATTGTCAATGAGTATATTAATTGACCATGTGCTATTATACATAAAATATTGTAAAAATGTAGAGGACAATCACCACAGTGTGTTCAAAATGTCTGCCAAAGAGGAACATGGCATCATGTGATGCTGGTGACATGGTATTGGGACAAACAATTTTTGAGTTAAAGGGGGGAGTTCTGTTAGTAACATAGTTGACAGAACTTTTGCGGACATTCATATATTAAGATATTTAAATTATTTAAAGGGGGAAATCAATTAAAAAGATGTTATTATTCTTTAGTATTTAGACTTTTGAAATAAATGAATCATTTTTTAAATTTACTTTAATGGTTTTTATTCATTATTTTGAATCCAAGACACCCTCAACTGAAAAACGGACATAGCAAAAACTGACAATTTAAGAACATCATGACACATTTCAAGCTAAATAAAGCATAGGATGCACATAATGTTTGTGTGATATTATAACATGCTTTCCAATAATAGGCAAAATATGATATTTTTGAAGAAAATAGTTAGAATAATTATAATTATCATCAATGGACATCAATGGACATGGAATGTACCCTAAATTGTAGAATCACTCAGCAGTTACATACACCAAACCTTCCAGTTATATTCCTATCAATATTATGAAGGCTTTTACAGAAGGGTTTGGTCATATATAATTCATAGCCTGAATTATATAACATTTTATACCTAAAAACATGGTGAAAATTGATATTTTAGGGCTGTTGACAGTATTTTCTGATTTATGGAGTGATACAAAGAGATATCCAAAATCCCTTCTGTAAAAGCCTTAGATACTAATATGACTACAAAATGAAACAATAATTTTGATCCTGGCTTTATCCAAAGTTCAGATTTCGGTTCCTGAAATGTGTTAAAATATGCGCATATTTCATGAGATAATGGTTCATTTGGATATTTAAACATGCTATTTCAGAAAACTTGTAATACAAAAAACAATTGCCTTATTGTAAGTAATTAACTGGAGAAATATTTAGCTGATATCTTTAAGTTAAAAATACCCTATTCACCTGGGGTGTCTCGCCTTAATTAGATGTTTGATAAGTGCAGATCACATAGTAAAACACGTACACAGATACATTATTTTGTATTTTTATTAAATTCGACAATGTCAATTTCACTTTCCACTATGTCCACCGTTGTTTTTCACAACCAATGGCAGAACTTTATTGAGGCCTGTAATTAGTCAACTACAGGTCTCTTGAGTCAGTCTTTTTCTTCCAAAAAGCTTGTGACAAGATGTTATTGCTCTTGGGGCATTAAAAACAAGATTTTAACTTTAGTTTTTTATATAATATCTGCATTTTCTATTGTGAAAAACTAAGTCTTAGTTATTTAATATATAGCGCCATCTCCTGGTTAAACCCTGAAATTGGAGAATAGTGGGAGGGCCTAACATTCCTGAATACTGGTCTTTGGCAGGCAACTGGCTGGCAACTGGCTGGCAGTCGGCAGGAAGCTGTATGCTGGGGTCCAAAATAAGAGGCTCCATCTGTATAAGGGCTCTTTTTCACCTATAAACATAAAATCCTGCTTTTACCTCAATCATGACTCATAATAATGTAATGATAGAACAATAGATAGATAGACAGTGTTATTCATCATTGATTACACTAACATACATTTACTCAAAGAATGTTTTCAATTACTAACGTTGTGCTGTTCCAGAGTGCCTTCACAGTGTGGTGTTATGACTGTGACTGAAGTGAAAGGTTTCAGTAACGCTCAGCTTCCTGTCTTCCTGAGCGGCAGATGGTGATGGAAGGAGTCCGAGGCGCAGGCATCGAGGGAGATATCGCCATCGATGATGTAACCATCGAGGAGGGCGAATGTAAAGACCCACCCCCAAACAGTGAGTCACATCAAGTAAAATAGAATCTAAAAAAAAGTAATATTTTAAAGTAAGAAAACATGCAATTTGCCCCCAAACATCAGGTTGACCCCAAACATCAGGTTGACCCCAAACATCAGGTTGACCCCAAACATCAGGTTGACCCCAAACATCAGGTTGACCCCAAACATCAGGTTGACCCCAAACATCAGGTTGACCCCAGCTTCAGGTCTGCACACAAAAACGTGAATCAATGCTCTTGTTTTTAAACTTCTCTCTCTCTTCCCACACAGATCTAAGGTCGCTTGCCCCTCCCTCATCACCCCATATATGGCAGCTGTGCATCACTCTGAGTCTGGCTCTGATTGGCCGGCAGAGGTGACCCCCCCTCTCTACAGGACGCCACATCCTTTGACTCTTCTTACCCTCCCTTCAATCCCATCACCCCCCATCATTAACCCCCCCCCCCCCCCCAACTACCAAAGATAAGGTCAGAGCTTCAGAGAGGGCTGGCACAAAAGGTCAGGAGGTCACATGGAGACACGTCAGGTTAGCTGCTTCTAAATGCTTTCACTCTTTATGCTAAGCTAACAACATCCTGACTCGAGACACTCAGACAGCCAGAGAATAAGTTCATTTACTAAAATATCAAACATTTTACTTTCAATATAATTAAAAAACTTGTGCTTTTGGGAGTTTTCCCTTTCCTGTAGTTTGTTCTATAGGTTTTTGTGCATTTAAATGGTCTTCAAAGGCTAACATCCCTGTGTCCCCTCAGGGAGAGCTGCTGATATCACAGTGCAAACACACCCATGAAGTTTTGCAGCTTAGTGCGATTATTCATGTGGAAGAGTAGACATGTTGCCTTTGTTCCAAGACAACAGGAGGCAGAAAGATGGCAGAGATAAAGAAAAATGAAAGCTCCAGGTCCTGATGAGTTATACCTCAAAACGACGGTCTTATTTGTGCATTCCCCCTGAGTGAGTGTTAAAACAATAAGAAATAGTTTGTAAAAAAGTAGAATAGCTGCCAATCATCCAACAGCATTTTAAGAACATTGTTTTCAAAGCAACTTCTGAAAATCACTTATTTGGGATTTCCCCTTGATCCGGTTTCTCCTGTGACCTGTGATGACCTTTGGTTTCAGCTCAGCGCCACGAAGCCCAGAGAAAAGAGGAAATAACAGCTTGAATGTCAACTTTCCTAAACACCCACCATCATACCTCCCCCCTCCTACCTCCACCATCATACCACCCACTCCTACCTCCCCCCTCATACCTCCACCATCATACCTCCCCCCTCATACCTCCACCATCATACCTCCCCCCTCATACCTCCACCATCATACCACCCACTCATACCTCCACCATCATACCACCCACTCATACCTCCACCATCATACCACCCACTCATACCTCCCCCCTCATACCTCCCCCCTCCCTACTCCTTACCCTTCTACAGATCAACAGTACTGTAACGCAAGCTGGACGGACGAACTGCATCTCTCTGTCTTTTCGGGGGAAGTTGACTTTTTTTCAGTGGGAGGTTACGACAGTTTTTAAAAAAACAAAAGAACTTGAAGATGTTATTTTGACGTCTGTCTGTCTGAGGAGGAGTTCCCTCTCTGCCACGACATCAAGTGCCTTCAGACTCGCAGAGTAAAAGAAAGCAGAACAAATATAACCGAAAAGCAAGAGACCGTCGGACATCGTTATGTCTTCATGGCCAAGGACAAGAAAACAACCAATTCTTGGTCTAATTATGCAGAGAATTCGTTTCTTACAGATTTTTTTTCTTTTATTGAGATGAAAATGTTTATGACGACGAGGATTCTGGGAAAACAGAAGCCATTTTCGATGGCGTATAGAAGAGGCAGCGACAAACACACAAAGGGAAGCAACTAATACGGACATGAAGCTCCTTTGATTTAAAGAACAACCCTGCAATCATAATCTGAGGATCTGTGACGGGATATTTCAAAATACAAGACAACCTGCTCGGACGATTTCAAGCCTGAAGCAAATGGGATTTCTCCCTGAACTATTTTAGTATTTCAAAATAACAGATTTCAGAAGGAGGCGGAGACTTTGACTCGACCTGAAATCATCACTAATATTAATCTACAAAAAGTGGAGCTGGAGTTTTTGGAAGAAGGAGAATGAAACATGTATTGTAAAATCAAATCTTATATTGTTCCTATAATATTATGAAGACAGGGGGAATCTTTACACGTTTTATGTACTTCATTTTTGTTTTGTTTCAACGAGGGTGGGATCTTAAATTGAAGTTTATTTTTTTGTGGAAAGACAAAAGGAACATTTGGAAGATTGAAAACCCAGGTGCAGTATTTTTTGTTTTGTTAGTTAATGGTTTGAGATTTAATCAACGTTCTGCTGATAAAACATTTCTACTACAAACCAAAATCCATAGTGAGAATTCATCGAAAAAAGCACAAAAATACATAAATGTTTGTTAAACAGTTTACGCATCAAAACACACCTTTCTGGAAATCATCAGATCTGCATCTTAGGTATTATTAAGAAGCCCATTTCTGCCAAAAAAAGACAAACATGTATAAAAAGTTTGGAGGCTGAGAATTATAAAGATTCATTGTAAATAATCCCAAATCTAAAAGACCGAAAAATTGCAAACTCTTGCCTAGATTTTAGTTTTTTTGTAATAATTTAGGCTTAATTCTCAAAGGACTGACGAGAAATGATTACAGTTGATTTACTTTCCCTTCGTAATGGAGTTAAGAATTAAAGGTTCTGATGACATGTATTGTAACTTTTGCTAAACTTATAAATTAATCTTTATGACTCAATAGCTCATATTTTACAGTCTTTTACCATTCCTAACATTTTATCATTATTTGTTATATTTTTGTGGCAGAAAGGGGCTTATGTACTGAAAAAACCACACAACTGCCATTTTGATGAAAGTGGTTTCACAACATATGTTAGAAAATAATCATTTCAACTTGAAAAGACATTTAAAGACACGGTGAGACATGTTTTTCAGCATCATTTGGTTCATTTATGCAACAAAATTCTGAATGAAACAGAAAATGTGGGTCTGTTATTTGATATAATTGAATATCACTCAATTTGATTAACTGACAGTGGGTTTCACAAAGTGTTTAGAAAAAAACCCAGTTTGTGATGTTTTTACTTAAGAATAATGCTGATTCATCATTTACATCTCAGCCACTGTTACCCTCACATTAGACTTTGAGGCGTTTAACAGAGGATTTATTAGATAACTCATACTCTCAGATAAACATCATTTATTTTTAATGTTATGCTGATTTTTATTTCATCCCTGTGGCGACACTTTTCTTCTCTATTTGTTTTTCCACTGCAGTTAATAATCTGATTTTTATTATAGCTCCTCTGGGTGTCAGTGTATCCTCCTCTGCATCATTATCACATTAACTGTTTATGTGGCATCCCCGGAGATGGTTAGTCGCATCTGATCTTAGCACAAATGGGTTTCTTTAAATAACGGGGTCCAAACAAAGATGGCAGCCAACAACTGATCATTGTTTCGGTAGAGTTTTTTTGTTGTTGTATGGAACCTAGTGAAAGATTTAAAATAAAAATACACTTTCCCATTTTTGGGATTTTGAGAAATCAGATACTTAAATAAAATGCTAGAAAAGTATATTATAGCACATTGGCAGGGACATTTACTGTCTCCTATTTAGAGACCACATTTCCCAGAAGTCCTGTTCTATAAAACACACTCAGAGTCACTCAGGCTCTCATAGGTCAAACATTACATGTCACTTGTTAGATGCTTTTATCCAAAGCGACTTACATACTCAATACTGTGGACAATCCCCACAGGAGCAATTTGGGGTGAAGTGTCTCAGGGACACAATGACATGCTGACTGCAGTGGGGTTTGAACCTGTGCTCCCCTGATCCAAGCACCAACGCACTAACCCACTGCGCCACAGCCTCCCAAACATAAATTGAGACCTGTGTTACAAAACCGTTAAATGTTCCGTCCATATGATAATAGTCGTCTTGCCTCGTCAAAGACTATGCTGCAGTGGACAAACTCTTCCTCATTTATTACCCTGGGGATATGTGTTATATTTGCAGTTTGGGGGGGATGGTGTGAGGGGCAATACAATAACAACTTTAAAAAAGCCACCAACACAACTGTGGACGTGTGAAGAAAGATATTTTTATAACTGTGATTATTCTCTGCAATATATTCTCAGATCAGTTAGAATGACTGAAGGTTACACTGCATTCTGGTTATTATTATTATGATTATTATTAATAATAAAAATACACTCCAAATGTAATTTCTTACGGTTTTCTTTCTTGGCGTCTTTATGCTGTATTGTGTGTCAATCTGTGTGTTTGTATTCATCACCTTGTGGGTGATTTGTGCCTTGTTGGGCTCATAGAGGTGGGGAATCTTGTACACTGTCCTTGTCGGGTCTTTCTTATTCAGTTAATGCTTGTCGGGACTGTCCTCGTAGATGTTCCTTGTGAGGACTTTATTCTCAGAGGAACATTGTGAGGACTCTCCTGGTACATGATCATTGTAGGGACTCTATAGATTATCCTGATGAGGACCTTTCTTGTAAATTGTCATTGTGGGGCCTTTCCTCGTAGATTTTTCTTGTGGGGACTCTCTTTATAAATTATCATTGTGGGGACTATACTTGTAGTTGTTCCTTGTGGGGACTCTTCCAGTAGAGGATCCTTGTGGGAACTCTCTTTAGAGTTTATCATTTTAGGGACTCTACTTGTAGTTGGTCCTTGTGGGTACTCTTCCAGTAGATGATCCCTGTGGGGACTTTTCTTATAGTTGGGACTCTTCCTGTAGATGATCCTTGTGGGGACTCTCTTAAGAAATTATCATTTTAGGGACTCTACATGTATTTGGTCCTTGTGGGGACTCTTCCAGTAGATTATCCTTGTGCGGACACTATAGATTATCATTGTGGGGACTCTACTTGTATTTGGTCATTGTGGGGACTCTTCCAGTAGATGATCCTTGTGGGGACACTCTTTATAGATTATCATTGTGGGGACTCTACTTGTATTTGGTCATTGTGGGGACACTTCCAGTAGAGGATCCTTGTGGGGACTCTCTTTAGAGTTTATCATTTTAGGGACTCTACATGTATTTGGTCCTTGTGGGGACTCTTCCAGTAGATGATCCTTGTGCGGACACTATAGATTATCATTGTGGGGACTCTACTTGTATTTGGTCATTGTGGGGACTCTTCCAGTAGATGATCCTTGTGGGGACACTCTTTATAGATTATCATTGTGGGGACTCTACTTGTATTTGGTCATTGTGGGGACACTTCCAGTAGAGGATCCTTGTGGGGACTCTCTTTAGAGTTTATCATTTTAGGGACTCTACTTGTAGTTGGTCCTTGTGGGTACTCTT